TCATCTCTAAATTCTTGACAGTTTTTAATCATCTAAACGAACAGTTAACCCTGAAGAGGACGTCCATAGGTGCGAGGTCTCAGGGACGTGTAGTGTGAAGGACATGAACTGATACTTATTAGAGGATCTGAGCCTTGATCAGTGGCTACCATAGTGTGTGTGTGTGTATGTGTGGTTAAGCGTCTTTCTCCCTGCATCCCACGATGTGGCCCCAGCCTCCACCTGTCTCTTCTCTGACAGCGTCCTCAGTCCTCTCCCAGTTCCTCTCTGGATGACTATTTTCATCTCAGCCGCTCTGATTCTAAACCAATACTGTCCCCAGAGACACCACCAACGCCTTTAACACCAGTGCTTGTAAAACACAACCTGCGCAGGGTAAATCACATCTTTCCCCCTGAGGGTTGTTTGCATACGTTTTGTCTCACTCATAAGTAATAGATAAAAGAGTGTGAATGGTTCTTTGTCTCTGTGTGTTGGCCCTGTGATTCGCTGGCAACCTGTCCTGGGTCTACCTCTCACCCAATGTCGGCTGGGATTTGGCCGCGGTCTCCGCCTGTGACCCTCAAAAGATAAGGGGTATAGGTTGTGGATGTCTTACTGGCCTGGCACGGCATTGATGAGGTCTAAAATTAAAGTGATTTAACTCAATGCCATCATTGTGGGGACATTTTGGCCGGTCCTCACTTTGTCAATAGGCTGTCTGAGGGTTAAGACTTGATTTTATGGTAAAGGTCCAAATTAGGTTAAGGCTAGGGAATGAATTATGTCAATGAGTGTCCTCACAACTATTGAGACGTGCATACGTGTGTGTGCTCCTGTCCTTGTGTCTTTGTGAGGACCATTTTAAGCATAGACCCTACAGAGAGGACATTTTAGGAAAGTGAGAACATTTTGGCTGGTCCTCAGACTTTGTTTTAGTGTTAGGGTTAGAAATAGGTTTAGGGTGAGGGTGGGGTTTAGGCATTTAGTTTGGATGGTTAAGATTTTGATTATTAATTTATTAATATTACGAAGGTTAGGACTAGTGAATGTATTATGTCAATGAGTGTCCTCACAACTATTGAGACGTGCATACGTGTGTGTGCTCCTGTCCTTGTGTCTTTGTGAGGACCATTTTAAGCATAGACCCTACAGAGTGAGGACACTTTTGGAAAGTGAGGACGTTTTGTTAGGGTTAGTCATTCAGTTTGGATGGTTAAGGTTAGGGTATGGGGCAAAGGGAATGTAGTATGGGAATGAGTGTCCTCACTAAGATCGAAGTACAAACATATTTTCTCATTTTGCGGTGGAAAGCAACAGCATAACTGAAAGGTGCTGAGCAAAAAACCAAACTATGTACGAGGACTGATGAGTCAGCAGCAAATCAAGAGGCAAAAAAGTAATTCTTTTTAAACTTCAAGGAAAAGCTTTCAATTTGCAGTTATTCCTCTTTTGCTTAATTTCCTTGAAGCGCTGCTACTTCATGAAACACATGCTTCTTCTTTTAAATGTCGGTGAACATTTTTGTGTGACATGTTATGGAGCAGACAGCCATGGTTCCGTATGTTGGCAACATCAGTTCTGTTTGTCACTTGTCTCTAATGGTTAATTGTGGGAAGCCACAGATGTCACAGAGAGATTTTGCAACACAAAGAGAACCACAGACATTGAAAATGTGAGAAGAAAAGAGACAGTGTTGGCAAAAACTGCACATGAGCATGTGTCTCCTTCTCCTCCAGTCACACTCCCCACAGAGGACGGGAGACAGAGCACTTCTCCACTTCTCTCTGTCTCTCTGCCCCCCCACACTCATATTATTGACATGTATTAAAATAAATAAGTCACTTTTTCCTCCCATAGTCCCCCTCTCTCTTTTTCTCTCTCTCATTTCAGATATCTCTGACCCCGGAACTGCAGGACAAGAACTATTACTACTATTACTATTATTAATTACAACACTTCAGTAATTAATTGTTATATGAATTGTGCCTGTTATCAATATTAATTAACAAGTCTATACACTGTTACTGTTTACGTTTTGACTAGTCAGATCTGAATCCTGATGGTGCTCAAGTGATCCCGGTTTCTCTCGCCTCTCTCTCTCCCTCTCCCCACTATCTCTCTCTCTTCTCTCCCCTCTTTTCCACCCATCTCTCCTCTCCTCCCCCTTTTTCTTTGCTCACCCCAACCAGTCGAGGCAGATGACCGCCCACATTGAGTCTGGTTCTAGAGGTTTCTCCTTGTTAATGAGGGAGTTTTTCCTCCACAGTCGCCAAAGTGCTGCTCATTCTGGGAACTGTTGGGTTTCTTTATATTAATAAGATTTAAGGTTTGACCTTTTATGTTAAGTGCCTTGAGATAATGTATATTAGGATTTTGCGCTATACAAATAAAATTGAATTGAAATTGAATTGAATTGAATTGAGACAATATCAAACCCTGTACATAAGTTCAACCATTAATGCTGCAATACATAGCTAAAGAATAGTGTGTTTACAAGAAACACGATATCAGAAGTAAAAGTACTCTTTATGAAAAACAATACTTCCTCCTACATCAGCATCCCTAAATCTGTTTAACGCTCTTTTCCCAGCAATACTCTCACCTAAGTAACTGAGTGAACATATCACAGTGAGTGATCAAGGTTTATAACTGAGAGAAGTTCAGTATTTCAATAATCTACATCATATTTCTGACAAACTCAATCTTACATTTGAAACACTTCTAAAATGATACACTTAGATTTTTGAAAAAAGTTAATTGATATATTAAAATAGCGGAGCACTGTAGTTTTAAGCAAGCTCAAACAAGAGTAAATTGAATATTTATTGGGAACTATTTTCTACAGCGGATTTTATTGGTTCTTATCTAACTCTCTGCAAGAAAGTGCACAAGCATATTACCCAACATACAACATAACAACATTTATTGTAAATTTGACCAAAAAAAAGAAGAAAAGAAAAACAGTACAATAAGATAAAATAATAAAGTAAATCATTGGCTTCCAGAAAAGTGGAACACAAAATTTACTAGATTTACTAAAGTAAAATAAAGAATTAGAAAATTTAAATTAAAAAACAGATTTTAAATAATTAAATTTCACTGAATTATTTACCGCTTTAAACGTTGGCAAGAAGTTTAGGAGAAAACTAACAACATCTGTATTTCGGCCTCTAAAACAATCCTTGTTCTGAGGTTTTTCTTTATTGAAACTAATCTGAACCCAAACATTATGCAAGCCTGTGATTCCTTATTCACACACACACTAGTTATATCCTTGATGAATATCTTATTGTGTAAGCACATGACATTAATCCATTCTCAGGCACATATTTGAGGAGTGGGGGTAGAGTCAGTTTCCTGTGACAGTTTTTGAAGTAAGTTCCTGTTCTGTGAAACTTAGATAGAACTCCCCTATATAGATAACCACATACACACGCACACACACACACATACAAATACACACACCCACACACACGCACACACACACACACACACACACACACCTGTAAACACACACCTGTGGTTTTATTCAGTGAACCATTCATACAAATATGAGTTAAAAGTTTTATCAATTACTGTCATATGAGGAGCGCATGACTTCTTTAACTATGCAGTATTTGTATGAGTCATTAAAACTTTCTCATAGGTGAAAAACACATTGAGTGAGAAACTCAAAAGTATTTAGTAGTTGGCTATACAATTAATGCAACCTGAAGAGCTAAGATAAGTAGTTTTCTTTGGGAGATTACAACATGTATTTATTTTTGTGTCTTAATTAATTACTTTTTTTATTTGGGCACATTTTTTTTTTTCTGTCTGTTTTTGTTTATTTTTTGTATAAATTTGAACCATTCAGGTAAATTTGATGAAGAACCAGACCTTTATTAATGATATGTGTACAGTATGTGTGGAAGTATTTACAATGACCATTGGAAACATGAGTGTTTTGTATTGGGGAACTGAAATCAAATCTTTGTGTGTGTGTGTGTGTGGTCCAGGTATTTCTCATGTATTACCGTCATTATTAATAGTTAGTTAGTAAGTTATTGACACCTACTGAGAATTGTTTATTGATTCTAAATGGTTCTCATTCTTGCTCCATTACCCTGTTGTTTTCACCTCATGATTTTAACTGAGAAACCATTTGAGACATCAGGAATAATGAAGACTAAGAGATGTCATCGCTTCATTCTGACTCATTCAATCAGTCAGAGTCAGCTCATCACTGGAGTGATGGTGAGGGGCTTGTCTGAGAGTTTCCTTGTCTTGGGTAGCCAAGATCCTTCTTTTAGTTTCATACATTGTTTTAGTTTCATCATTCCTACACTGGAGTAATATATAGTATTTAGTTTGGAGGAGTTCCCTCTTAACTACTTTGCTATTGCCAATGAAGTGACAGAACCAGTGTTTTTTCAATTAAGCCATTGGTAAATCTTTTTTCCAAGATAATATGAAATGTTGAGTTCATATTGTAAATTTTTATATATGCAGAATTTTAGATTAACCTCTCCTACAGACATTTGTTGTTGTTTTTTTCAAATTCCAAACAAGATCCTAAATATTTATCAGGATTCCTAAAGAACTGGATGGCAGTTTGGGGAATTGTTGTATGCATAAGCCATTTTAGACATTTCTGTTTCATGAAATGGTGCAGGCATTAAAACAGTTTTGTTTCACTCATCAATAAAGTCACTCAAAAACGGTTATTTTCAGCCTATCCTGCACCATCAGATTTTGTGTAATTATGTTGCTACAAAGCGCTACACATTGATTTGAATGCTGTATTGATATATGAAATGATTGAAAGGACATGACCAAAAATTTAAAATAGCAAAGGTATGTTTTAGA